GATTTGTGGTTTTGAAGCCCACATTTGCATACCGTTTCTGTTATCACTGTTTTTCTCATCCTGCTTTTACTGACTCCTGCATTCTTGTAGCAGTAGGCCGTTTCTTGTTTATCTTACTGTTACCTCTTGACCTTTTCAGAACTCAGAATAATCATGCAGAATTGCTAAGGCCCCAACACTTCCCCCCTTTCGCTTAAGCATAGAATCAAAGCTGTGAATGATACAATCTTGAAGACACCTAAAAATACATGGAACAACAAGCAATAAAACCAGAATAAAAATGAGTATAGACAACCCTTGTTTCAGTACATCTTTTAGCCAACCTCCTATTCCCCATGATGCCAGCCAGGCATCCAATCCCGCAGATCCTTCTTTTACATGATGCATGCGTTCCTTAAGTTCTTGTAACTGTTTGTGTATGCTTTGTGAATGATCAGATATATTCATACAACACATTTCCTTAAAATCTTAGCACTCATACCAGCGTATGCTAAGCTCAAACCCCATCCAGAAAGACCAAGATTTAAAAACAGGTTATCTAACCAAGAGGATTGTACAGTTATCTTTTTGGTATGTTCTTTAAACCACTGTAGTTGTTCCTGAATTGGCCTACTATGATCAGAGAGGTTAAAACAACACAAGCAAACTTGTCTTGATTATAGGTAAAAGCCATCCTGATATTTACCAACAGACCATTTAGTCAATTTTAACCAGCATTAACTTGCAATATCTTCAATATCTGCTTCCAATCTCCGAAGGCTAGCAGCATCAACTTACCATAATTAAATCTATAACATTAAGTATTTAAGTTCACACACACAGATATCTGCGCAGCTTTTTTCACTCATACAGCTTTTTTCCCAGTCATTCAGAAGGTGGCCACCTCAATCATCCTTCATTCACACATAGCTGGGATTTTTATTATATTTTTCATTTCAACCACACATCTCAGATTCCTAAGTATTGTTTGCTTCTCAGTGCTTCTCAGTCTGCCATCTCCGGTGGTCATGTTCAGCAATTCCACCTGTCCTGAAAAGGAATCAATACAAGGAAACAAAAAGGCCTAACAAACCTAAATGAGATCCATTTCTGATCCAGGACCTGTTTATGTACATGCATATTCTCCTCCCCTCTTTTGTTTTGAAAATATGTTTGGTGTGTAAAATGCTTTTTGACAATAATTTGATCTCTGAGTGAGTTAGCCTTGCTTTAGAATACCAAAAGCTATGCAGTATAACAGAAATAATGTTAGGTGAACTGAAAAAGGACAAAGAATCATGTGTGTACATTTTAAATTCCCACCTGAAATGTATCTTAACCTAATGCCAGAAAGGGGGAAAAGAAAAGAAGGTATAATCTGCAATTATAAAATCACTTTAACCAAGTAACCAGGATCAATTATAGACCTCTTAAACCTTTAACTATTCCCCAGTAAGTTCCACTTCTCTGTCAACTGTGACAAACTCAGTGAAAAACACCACCATGCACATGAAAGTTCTCTTCAAAGCTCCCTTTTTCCCTTTTTTTTAATTTTATTTTTTATTTTTATTTTTTTCTCCTTTTTTTTTTATTTTTTTAAAGTGGTGTTTTTTTTTTTTTTTTTTTTTGAATCAGCTGCAGTTTTAGCAGCTTTGCTGGGAAAACTGTGCTGGTAACACCACAAGTGCTAAGACCTGCAGGTCTGTGTCCTCCGGGACTCCCCTCAGCACAGGTAGCAGCGTGCCCCGCTCTGCCTTGGAGCTCGCAGTGTCCCGGCTCCGCAACCCCGCGTGGCCGCATCAACAGGAGCTCCGCCTTCACTCTGCTCCCAGCATGGTTCTGCCTAGGCGTCCTGCTCTGTGCTGGCTCTCCTCCACCGGTGCTGTCTCTGTGCTCTCTGGATGTTGCTATCTCCACAGTCTGGGATGTAGTCACGTCTCAGTTTCTGTCCATCTGCCTCTTCCAGTTGTTTTCACTGTTAACAAAAGCTTAACAAACCGTTGCTCTTAAAAGTTCCGTCTATTCTAAGTAGTTACCGTGCAGAAACAAATGAGAGCAGTCAGACAATTTTACCGAGGGTCTGCGTGGAGAAAAAAGGACTCTTCAGAGCCCCAGACGGCCCCTCGTTCCGCGGTGGGTCTTGAACCTATGACCCAGGGATTCAGAGTCCTATGCTTTACCGAGTGAGCTATCCAAGCTCCTTTGGAACTAGCTGCGCTCCCTTCAAGGTAGCCAGGCTCTCTTCAACTAACACAGCAGCAACAGCCCTAGGGAGCTCCTGCGTTTGGAAGGTTTCAGACACCACTGTCACACAAGTTTTTGTTTTTCAGTCTTAGAGTAGCAATGCTTAACTCCGTGTCTTCTATCTGTGACTGTTGTAGTGAAACTATAACTTGCAAAGCAAACATAGTTTTGCCTCTTGTTCAAGTTAAAACATTTTTAAAGTTCAAAGAATGTTGTGGGCGGGCTTTACGGACTTCCATAGTTGCCGTCCTTTGTAAAGCGGAGCGGCGCGGGGGGAGGGAGGGGAGTGGGGGGGCTCTGGGCGCCTCTGCCTTCCCGTGTCTTCCAGCAACCCTCCATCTTGCCTCGCCCTCCCGTCTCGGTCCGTCCTCAGGGCACACTGCTTGAGGTGGGGGGGGTGGGGGCTGTTCGATCGCGATCTGAGGCGGCCCCGGTATTTTACTTTCGATTTGTACTTCAGGCAATTGCTTTTCGTTACTGGGGTTCCACGGTGGTAATTCGTCATCTAAACCCCACGCTATTTGTTCTGCCTTAGTCATGACAGGACATGTCAACGGAGGATAATTAGGGGGGTCTCCAAGAGGGGGTCAGACACCCTGCATTTCGGCCGCGTGTTCTGCCTTTGTTTGAGAGCTATCGGGAGGCCGCACTGCAGCTTTAACAGCCGCGGCGACTTGCGCCTCGCCATGTAGCCGTTCAATCAGTATTCGCAGAGTACGGTAAGTTTTTGCTAATGTCTTTGCCCCTTTCGTTCCAAGTTGTACCGATTCCCACAAGTCCTCCCCCACCTTTTGCCACGTCTCAGTATTATATATATCTTGCGTGGAGGAGAAAAATCCACGGCGGTGACACCAACATAGTAAATCTATCAGCGCCGAATGCGGCAACTGAGTATCAGTCTTATCAGCCAATTTCATTAGGCTATCGACAACCGCCTTTTCCACTGCTGAAGCAGTTAATCCCATCCTGCTTATTTTCCTGACTCACCGGTCAGCCCGTGCACGATCCGCCTTTCTTCTGGCTCCCAGCTATAATTCCACTGGCAGCAGGATCCTCGCAGGCTCTGCAGTCCGATGTTCGATAGTCCCCAAGCACGTACGTCGGGGTTCACCAGATGCTGCAGGCATTCAAGCGAGCGGGAAAGAACCACACACACATCCACAAGATGCAAGTTCGAATCCAGTTTATTATTGTTAGGCTGTACAATTTATATTATTCTGAGTTCTGTTCACGCGAACACGAGCACAGCACGCCATCACGATTGGTCAGCACGCACTGTCCATGCGCCCCAGGTAACCCACCGATTTGTGGTTTTGAAGCCCACATTTGCATACAGTTTCTGTTATCACTGTTTTTCTCATCCTGGTTTTGCTGACTCCTGCATTCTTGTAGCAGCAGGTCGTTTCTTGTTTATCTTACTTTTACCTCTTGACCTTTTCAGAACTCAGAATAATCATGCAGAATTGCTAAGGCCCCAACACTTGACATCCCTTTAGATGAAGAAATTTTTCCTAATATCCAATCTAAACCTTCCCAGCACAGCTTGAGGCTGTTTTCTCTTGTCCTGTCACTTGTTACTTGGGAGAAGAAAGCAACCCCCACCTTGTTACAACCTCCTTTTGGGTAGTTGTAGAGAGTGATAAGGTCCCCCTGAGCCTCCTTTTCTCCAGGCTAAACAACCCCAGCTCCTTCAGCCGATCCTCATCAGACTTGTGTTTCAGCGCTTTTCCCAGCTCTGTTGCCCTTATCTGGACACACTCCAACATGTCAATGTCTTTCTCCAGCCCCCCTCTGCTCTGTGTCCCTCCCTGGGCTCTCTCCCCCAGCACATGAAACAGATCCTAGTGGACTTCACTCCCTGTTCATCATTTCACTTCAGTCACACAGTCCTTGTGCATTTCTGACTCTACAACAGCGTAATCACATTTTCAAACAAGCTTCTTCACATTTCACCTGACAATTTTAACCTGTGACTGGAACATACACACACTGAGGGGCTGATAATGAAAAACTGCACAACTGTAACCGGTGCATCACAGAACCTTCACCTCAGTGGGGAAACACACAAGAAGGTATGAGGAGAAAGAGAGTACCGCGTCTATCAGAGGCTTTTGGGGTTTATTTTTGACTGTTTTGGGGCTCACCCTCTCTCACCGGGGTGTGTGAGCCAGGCCGCCTTAAGTCACAGCGCCCCGCCGTCCCAGGGCTCCCCGAAGCGCGGAGGCGGCGGGGCCGAGGGCGGGGGCGGGGGCGGGGCGGGCCCTCCCCACACCCCGCAGGCCTCGTCTACCCTCAGTCCCGCCCAGGAACCGGCTCTGCTGCTCAATAGCGCGTCGGCGAGCGTGGGGAGGGCGGTATTATCTTTTTCCCCTCCTTGCTGGTGCTCCCCTCTCCCCTTCCGCCGCCGCCGGCGGCCCCGCTGAGGGGAGCATCATGGGGCTAAAGGCGCGCTGAGAGCGCGGCCCTGGCGCCTGGACCGTGCCCGTCACGGCATGGCGGTTTCGTGCCGCTAGGCTCTGCCCCGCCTGGCCCGCAGTGCCTCCCCCGCCATGCCGAGCAGCAGCGCCGCTACGGCCTCCCGCGCCGCTGAGCCGCCGCACCTCCCCTTCCCCCCGCTGCCGCTGCTCCAGCAGCGCCTCTCCGGCCTCGGTTTCCGCGACCGCGGCTTGCCTGCCAGAGGCAGCGGAGTGGTGGGGGTGGCCCAGTGGCGGGTGGGCTTGGCGCCGCCGCCCGACCTCCCCAGGGAGCCGAGGCCTGGCGGGGCGGGGGAGGCGGCGACGGGGGATGAGGGAGACCTGGAGCTGGAGGAGGACGACGAGGACGAGGAGGACCACCTGGTCTCACTGCTGCTGCTCTCCTCGTCTTCCTCGTCCTCCCAGCCACTCCCGCTGCTGCCGGCGCTGGGCTCCGTCCTGCTCCCGCCCGCCTTCGATTCGCAGGAGGCATTATGGGGGGCGCACGATCCTCAGGGCATGATGGCGGCAATGCTGTCCCACGCTTACGACGGCGGCGGCGCAGTGGGCCTCAGTGGCGAGCAGACGGCACTGCTCCGCCGAAAGAGCGTCAACACCACCGAGTGCGTGCCCGTGCCCAGCTCTGAGCATGTGGCCGAGATCGTGGGCCGCCAGGGTAAGTGGGGGGCCGGATAGGTGTGTGGGGCATCGGATGGGGGTGTGAGGCGGCCTGGGCCTGCTGTCCTTCCCCGGGGTTTGTGGCAGGCCTCTCCCCCCACACCTTTGGGGTGTGCCTCTTCGGGGCCAGCTGCAGGAGCCTCTTGCCTCGGTAGTAGCTTCGTGCCTCCTAGGGTGGAACTCTCCCGTCCAGACCCCGGCTTCCCCATGGTGGACAGGATGCTGGCACCAAACTAGCCCTGCTTGAGAAGGCGAGGGCAAGAACTGGGTTAGCTCACACCTTCCGTTATTCTTCATTTGAGCTGGAAAATGCAGTGTATAGCCTGGTCACGTACAGGTAGGTGTTGGCACAGGCCTTGCTCTTCAGTGACACTCTGCTCGTGGTCTTTAGTGAGAAGTTGCCTTTCATTGTAGGAACTTGGGACTGTATTTTACAAAGACTTTTGGGTGAAGGACTTTAATTTTCCTTGGAGAGCAGGGCATGGGCTGACACTGTTCCTACAGCTTTCCATGGCATGCACTGAGACAAAGTGAGACGTGAGGAGCCAGTGAGATGGAGAAAGGCGCCATGTGTAGCCCTCCTCTCTGTGAAAGCCCTTGTCTTTCTGCTCGGGTTGTGGCTTCCTGTTGATTGCTGTTGCTACACTCAGTGGGTCTCTATTATGCCATTAGTATGCAGTCATATCAGTGATATCACATTTGTTGTTGGCCTTTCATGTGCTCTCGTGGGAACGGTGCTTGGAGGAGTTAGAAAGATGATGTTTTGCACTAGCTTTCTTGTGGTGAACCTAATTGTAAAAGCCCTTTTTACATATCAAGAGAAGCACTGAGCAGTGTTAAGTGTAGGTGTGGAAATGCAGACAATGAAGTTGCCACTCTCTTCCTCTTCCCTTTCTGTGTTTATTGGTTAGGGGATGGTGTGTCTTATTTGCTGATGGGCTCTGATAATGAGTTATCAGAGGTCATCAGTTATGCTGCCTGGTCTTTCTACATCAATGTGGCATTTGGTTGGTTTTTTTTTCCATTGAGTACAGAAGAAATTGTAAAATTGGTCTAAACCAATGTGGTACTAAAGAAAGGCCCACCAAGTGCCAATGCTTAGGCAGACTTGTTTTCTCCTTCTACTTTTTATTTTAGAATTTTAGCAGTTAAGGGTGGGGGTTTTGTTGTGTGTGTCAAAGGATGTCATAGTTCGTATTTTTAGCAAGGAATTTTTCTTTCCTTTCCTCCTGCCGTGTGTGTGTGTTCTGTGATGAGCCATTTAGTTGAACAAAGGAAGCTGCTCGAGCCCTAATAGGCGAGATTAGTTGCCTTGACAACGAAGGGGGGGGTGGAGGCTGGGGGGGAGGAGACTCTCTCTCTCTGCCGGGGTGAGAGGCTGCTGCGGGCTGCAGCACACTGCCGTAGGCTCCTTTGGCTTGTTTTTGTTTGTGTTTGCTTTGTTTTTTTTTCCTGTCGGAGGGAGTTTCTGGCTGCTGCTCTTGGCTCACCTCTGGCTGACTGCAAGCCCTGCTTACAACGGACCCTAATCAGCTGAAGTTTGTGAGTTTTCTTCCATTGGGAGAACTTTCTGTTTTATTGCTGTTGTTTCCCGCCCCCCTTTTCCCCGGTGGCAGCCAAGGATCCAACAGCGCCACCTGGTGACGGGCACTGGACATTACAAGTTCTACTCCTTCAGTGATCCAACAGCGCCACCTGGTGACTATAATAGGACACTACAAGTTTTTTTACACCTTCAGTGACCCAACAGCGCCACCTGGTGAATGGTACGGGACATTACAAATTTTGCATCTCCAGTGACCCGACGGCGCCCCCTGCTGACTGTGGTTGGAACAGCACCAAAGGGTGCAAGAAATTGAACTATTTTCTTTTTGCCGGTTTATTGGTTTTGTTCTTAAAGGGGATTATTGGTGGGTATAGGAGTATTACTTAGTTATTTTACTTGGGTTTTTTTTTCGTGTTCCTGTTAATACACACATACCTTTTAATAAAGGGCTGTTATTTTCCCTTTTCCATAATTTGTTTTTCCTTCAATCGGAGCCTCTTAATTTTGGATTTATAATTGTTTGGAAAGAGAAGTTTGGGTCTTTTCCTCCTAATTCATCCTCAGCAAAAGACCCTTGTCTCATTTAAACTGGGACATCTTTTGGCGCCCAACGTGGGGCCCGAGAGAGGAAAAGTGGAAAAGGAATAACTGCCCTTGTGTGACTTTATATGTGTTTGTGAACCTGTAGGCACCATGAAGTCTAAGATCGCTGCTTTTCTGTGGTATATAATTATGCCGAAATCTATGTCCCACCTGTCGATGTTTTTCAGCTCAGACACTATGACCCTTATTGCAATAAGTATGTTTGAGATCTCGCACTGGTTTTATGACATAGTAAACTCAGTACCTGTTATTTTCCTTCGGGATATGTTCTCAAGGATATATTACTGCTCTAGCCTACACTGTCTCCTTTGGGGTTTTAAGGATAATGGCACCTATTCCGACGGAGAAACACAGGGGAGTATATTTGCCCAACCCTTCATACATTTTCCCTTTGGTTCCACTACAATAGCCTCTGAGAGATTTAAACTCTCTTTAGATGTAAGAGACATTTTATTTTTGGGGCTTCTCGTGCAAGGTGTCATATCTATTGCCACGGTGTCATATCTAATATTCGTAGTTAGGCCCAGGATTTACCAGGAACGGGCACAGAAACCAGCCCCAAGGGTGGAAAACCTCGAATGGCATGGGCCATGGGAGGACGTGAGTAAATTTCTAGAAAGTGTTTCAGTTCCTACAACATGGAAGTTCACTCTCGAACAACTCCTAAACCCTGCACAGATAATAACAGCTGTGAGGGAGAGAAGTTGTGGTAAACCCAGAGAGAGGCAGGTGGTAGATGTATGTGGGGCTTTAGCCGTTGCCTACCAAAAGGTGCTAGGTATGGTGCAGCCCTCACAGGGTAAAGGAAAAGATGAAAGTGAGAGGTCTGATACAAGGGTGACTCCAGATAAGGCCAGTTCCAAGGAACCAAACAAGTCAATGGAGGTTGCCCCTATCCAAAAGAGGAAATATAAGACCAAATCAGTTCGCCCAGTAGATGATGATGGGGAGGCAGGACCCTCACAGGTAGCCAACCCGGAGCCAGAAATCATCACTGAGTCCTTATCATATGACAACCTCCGGAAATTACGGTCAGATGTCCTTCGTCACTCGAATGAGCCCATACTGACCTGGATGATTCGAGTCTGGGACTCCACGGGTGATACCATAAACCTTGATGGCGGTGAAGCAAGGTTCTTGAGGTCTATTGCCCAGGATGTGGGCATTGAAGAGGCATTTGTGAGAGAATCAAAACCCCTGTCTCTCTGGGCACGGCTGCTGGACGCTGTGAGAGAGAGGTTCGTTTACAGAGAGGCTTTGCAGGCAGACCATTTGGTGAAGAGCTGGAATACCATGGAGGAGGGGATCCGACGCCTGAGGGAAATGGCACTGTTGGAGATTCTGTTTGGAAGGGATATGCAAGCTAATCACGATCCTGACAAGGTTAGATTTACACCATACATGTGGTGGACCTTCATACGTATGGGGCCATCTGCACACGTCAGTTACTTGACATCATTGGAGGCTGGGGAAAAGAGTGAGCCAGTGGCGTTTATAGCAAATAAACTTCGGATGTACGACAGTATGGTCCAAGGATCACTACAAGCCCGCGTTTCCTCTGTAGAGACCTCGATCAATAACCTGACTAACATAGCTACAAAATTACAAGATCAACAGGAGAAAATCCTAGAAAAGATTGAGAGAAACAGCTCCCAGGTGGCACCAGTGAGAACCGGGCGCCCCCCAGCTAGAGAGGGTAGACAGACCTCACGAACTGAGCTGTGGTATTTCCTATCTGGCCATGGAGAAGACATGAGACAGTGGGACAGGAAACCTACCCATGTCTTGGCAGCCCGAGTACAAGAGTTGAAGGACCAGAGAAAAACAAAGTCCGTGAAAGTGAGTGCAGTGCCAGTATCCCGTGGGCAGGGATCTGACCCACTAGAAGGTACCTCCCGCCGGTATTTGCAGACGGAAAACTGTGACGAGCAGGATAGAGACCAGTATTAGAGGGGCCCTGCCTCTAGCCAGGTAGAGGCACGGGACAACCGTGTCTATTGGACGGTGTGGATCCGATGGCCTGGCACATCAGACCCACAAGAATATAAGGCTTTGGTTGACACTGGCGCTCAATGTACGTTAATGCCCTCAGGACATGTGGGACCAGAGGCTATTTCCATTTCTGGGGTGACAGGAGGGTCGCAGCAGTTGACCGTGCTGGAAGCTGAAGTGAGCTTGACCGGGAAGGAGTGGCAGAAACACCCCATTGTGACTGGTCCAGATGCCCCATGTATCCTGGGCATTGACTACCTTAGGAATGGGTATTTCAAAGACCCCAAGGGACATAGATGGGCTTTTGGAATAGCTGCTGTGGAGACAGAGGCTGCTAAGCAGTTGAATTCACTACCTGGCCTCTCGGAGAACCCTTCTGCTGTGGGACTGTTGAAGGTTGAGGAACAGCGAGTGCCAATTGCCACTACAATAGTGCACCGTCGGCAGTACCGAACAAACCGAGACTCTGTGATTCCCATCCATAAGATGATCCGTGAGCTGGAGAGCCAAGGAGTGATCAGCAGGATCCACTCCCCCTTCAACAGCCCCATCTGGCCTGTGCGTAAGTCCGGCGGAGAATGGAGACTGACTGTGGACTATCGTGGCCTGAATGAAGCCACCCCGCCGCTGAGTGCTGCAGTTCCAGACATGTTGGAGCTCCAGTACGAGCTGGAGTCTAAGGCAGCGAGGTGGTACGCCACTATTGACATCGCGAATGCATTCTTCTCCATTCCCTTGGCAGCAGAGTGCAGGCCGCAGTTTGCTTTCACGTGGAGGGGCGTGCAGTACACGTGGAACCGACTGCCCCAGGGGTGGAAACACAGTCCCACCATCTGCCACGGATTGATCCAGGCTAC